GGCCCCGGGAGGGACGGGGAAGGGTGAGGGCAGCATCCTTTGTTTGTTTGTTTGCTTGTTTGTTTGTTTCTAAATTCAATTCCTGGAACAAAAGGGGAGTCTGTGCGTGACTAAGGATCCGTCCGTGCATCCAGCCAAAGCTTAGCTCCGGTGTGTCACCCAGGCGGCTTCAGCTGGCTGACCATCCCCTAGGTATGTTCACAGAGCACTTCCCCTGTTATTTTGTTCACAGTCTTCTTTTCCTTTCTTTTCCCTTTTCCTTTCTTTTCCTTTCTTTTCCTTTCTTTTCCCTTTTCTTTTCTTTTATTTTTTTTCCTTTCTTTTCCTTTCTTTTCCTTTCTTTTCCTTTCCTTCTTCTCTTTTCTTGTCTTCTCTTTTCTCTTCTCTTTTCTTCTCTTTTCTTCTCTTTTCTTGTCTTCTCTTTTCTCCTCTTTTCTTCTTTTATCTTTTTCTTTTCTTTTTTCCTCTTTTCATCTTTTCCTCTTTTTTCCCTCTTTCTTCGTCTTTTCTTGTTCTTAATTTTTTCCCCTTTCTTTCCTTTTCTTTTTCCTTCCTTTTTTCTTTTCACCTGTGCTCACACGGAGACTAACCTAAACCCCACTGCAATCAAAGGGAGCTTTTTTAATGACGTTTTGGATCAGGCCCTGAGATCTCTGTAGGGAGCAAGACTGGGGGGGGGGGGAGCAGGATTTACATTTCATGGCTTTTAAAGAATCTGAAGTACAGAGAACGGTGCTTTCTGAGGCTGAGTTTCCCAAATCTGTGTGGATGTATCTCAGAGTGTGTATGTGATTAAGCTTAAAGCCCTTTTCTATAAGAAGGCAGGCAGATTCACTTTTCCTGCAGCCTGAACCCCGCTCCTCCAATTTTGAAACAAAAGTTCTTGCCAAGACCTTGACAGTGGGCTGTCATGATGCTAAAGGGGATGGGGATAGAATCAGTTTTATTTGTTGGTATCAGCTTCTAAAGCTGCGGTGCTCTCCACTGCAAACAGCCCCTGCTTCCTCAAGCACTTGGAGCTGTTGCAGTGAAACGTTAGTGACAATGAAAATGAGCCCAAAAGCGAACCAAGCAAGACCTAGTATTTTTTTTGCTTGCCCCCCACCAACTTAACTGCTTCCAAATTCCCTCATGAAAGCATTTTAATATGTAGGAAGAGCTGCTGGAGCCTGCAATGCGATTCAGTGTTTTGTGGTGTGGGATGAACAGATTTTCCTTTCTGTAGGATTTCCTCCTGCAAACTCATTGTAGAGGAGGGAATGCTGTAAGATTAAATATGGTTAAAATACTATATTCATGTCACACCAGATATGGCCTCCAGACTGTGCACAGTCTTTCAGCTTCCTTTATTGTGAAATCCTTTTAAAATAGCACAGTATAGAGTAAAAAACTTACTGAAGTATAACTTTCTTGCACCAAATTTATCATATAAAATGAAGGAAAGTGATCAGCCTTCTTAAATTAATAAATCTGCTTAGTGTCTCCAGCTGCCTTCACGCTGTCTTACTTTCTTTGACTCTTCCCTTATTAATAAACTGATAGTTAAATAAAGCTGCTAAATGAATCAATGCGCCTTGCCGGTGAAAGCAGGTTGGTGCCATCCTGTTTCGGGTCTCCTGTGATGTGGCTGAATGGTTGTGGTTTTAGAGAAGGGATAGCCTCGGCAAAGGCTGAGCCTGCTAAAAGCAGGCTGACCACATCGCTTTCTGGATGCTCTTCAGGTGTGAGGCTTGAGTACCTATTCCTCTCAGCCCCATGCATTAATAACAGGATGGATTCACCGACTGCCATGAAAGCAGAGGTCATCTTGAGGAAAATGACACCAAAGGTCTACGGGAGTCATGTGCTTTAAAAGATCCCGGGCCGTGTGCCAAGTATTGCATTTAAGGAAGCACTGTCCCCTTTCTCAAAAAAAAAAAAAAAAACAACAAAAGAAAAGGAAAACAAAACAAAAAAAAAGGAAACGTTGCTTTCAGTGGCATGTGAGGACCATTTCAATGCGCCTGTCCCACCTTTGGGTGGGATGTGGGAGAGGGATCGTTCGGCTGGCACCAAGCGTGCAGCGGGCTTTTGTTTTCAAAGCTGCAGAGCTGGTCTGGAATCAAAATGCTGAAAAAGCGCCTATAGTTTGTCTTGCCTTTTTTTTTTTTTCTCATTCAAACCGATCAGACTTGTGGTTTATCTTGCTCTGATTATGCTGTACGGTTACAATAAATGGATGGAGCTGAAGCATTGCTGCAGGCGGTTTATAGAAAATACATGTATATGCCTGTGTATGCACACTCAGGGAGAGAAAGTTAACTGTAAGGGACACAACAAAATATCCATATTTAAGAAATGTGGATTGACTCACTGACTTATCTCACTTATTGTACAAAGATTCACTCTATGTTGATTTTTTTTTAAATTAGATTTTGAATATGTGTTGACAGGATGAATTTGTACAGTGTGAGTAACCGCAGGGAGAAATGACAGCTCTGCTTTTGTTATTAAACCACTGTCTGGAAAATAATGGAGTGTGTACAAAAATTGATTATTATTTTGCAAATTACATTAGTGCAGCTAATAACAATCATTAAGAAAGAAATACAGAAAACTACACGCTTTCAGGTCTTAGAAGCTCACAGTCACTGATGAGGCAAAAATATGTGTTTTTGAGGTAATTTGTCAGTAAGAGTCTCCTGTTATTAATGTGAAGTAAAGACTAGATGTGTGAGCTAGAAACGCTTCACTTCAAACTGTGTTAATTTCTTCTTCACTCACTCATAGTTAATAAACAGTACCGGAGACTTTCTAAATTTAATTTAGGATTTGAATATAAAAGGTCCTATTCTGTACCATAGTGGCACGACAGACATGTTTTACAATGTTAAAAATTCCTTTTAATAATGGTTTATTTTAATATATTTACTAAATTAGGTACCCGAGAGAATCATCTACAACGGTGATGTGAAAATCCCTGTTACCTGAGGTCAAAAAAAAAAAAAAAGGTATGTTTTCATTTTCATTAGCAATTTGACATATTTCAGCAGGGGTGGTAATTTCATTGCTTTGTTTTCTGCTGCTAAGACGGTGCTTTTTGGTCCAACCCCGGGGAGCCGGTGACAGTCTGTGGAGCAGTTTCCTGGGCTTTCGAATGAGGCCGACTTTCAGGTGCCTACGAGAACCATCTGCAATGATGGGGCTTTGTACTTTTGTCAGCCAGGCAGCTCTCCCATGTCCCACAACTCATATATAATCCTTTGCAAATGTTTTCTTTCTTTTTCTTCAAATGCTAGTGTCAGACATCAGCTACGGGGATTAAGGATGGGTCTTCTGAAGATCTCCCTCAGATCTTGGTGAAAATCATGAGTCTGTGTTAGACGACTTCGGTACTTACAAATTACAATAGAGTTTAATTCACAGCACTGCTTTCCTCTGGAAATTCGTGTTCATTCAGTCTGTCAACATTGACTAAAAAATACACTGCTAATGAAAATGTGGGAATTAAACTTTCGGTCCCTTCCCCTGCTAGACTCAAACAGGCACTTTATTTTTCCTGTGGAATCTGATTTTTATTGACCTTGACTATAAAAAATACTAAGTGGCTTAAATGAGCACCAAGGTTGCAATGACAGATTCCTGTGTGAATTTTTTTATGAAACCTCCTATTTTGGTTAAGAACACAGGCTGTCGTACAGCCTACCGCACTTTGATCAAGAGTTACGTGCTATTAGAAAACAGTTGAATTTTATTAGCTCATGGAATTAAGCTTGTTTTATTCTTTATTATTTGTTATTTTTTATTATTTAAAAGTTGAGTGAGGATGGGGAAGATGCGATTGGTGCTCTAGACTCTACGTTAAATAGCACTGAGAGGAGTTTTTGTTGGCGTATGGGCTGCAGGAATAGGTTTCTCAAGGAGCACCAGAAGAGGTTCATTTTGAGCCTGATGCTTCTCTCACTTCCCCAAGGAACACCCCAGGTAGGGTTTTGCCTGCAAAGCTTTTTTTTTTTTCTGTGTTTCACCACTGTAAATGAGAGGGAAACCAGACCACTTGTTTTCTTGTGAGCGCTTAAAGTGCGATATGCTTTTTGCAAGAACAGAGCCAAGTCGTGATTCAGCTGAAGTAAATATATTAGGTACGTATTTTCATTGCAAAGGTGCAGCACGTTCCATCACCTTGTTCTTAGTGTAATGGTTCTAATTTCAATAATCCCATAGGAAAACTTCCATGGTTCCTGTAATTTATATATGTGACTATTAGAGTTATATAAATAATATGTGATATACATTCTTGTTAACCGTATAATAAAAAAGCAAAAGCTTTTTCCCTGATGGACACTTGTGATGTTGGGACTTGCTCAGCCTGCTGCTCTCCGGGACAATTCCTTGTGCCTTCCTTCCAATATTTTGTGGTTACACTTTCACATATTGTAGAAAAAAAAACCAGCAGCAAAATCCGTTACATTTAAGCAAATAGCTCTCAGGCCTTGGAAGAGTTAACGAACTTTTACGGCAAGGTTCAGACAGTTCTGACCCCTATGGTAATATTTCATCTAAGGTTACTGTTGGGAGAGAAATCAAATTTCAGCTGTGAACATGATTGACAGGTGAAAGCAAGAGAGAGAAAGACATCTGGTCAGATGGGGAATTTGGGAAGGAGAAGGACAATTCAGGGGAGTGTCTCTGTGATATTAGGAATAATAAGCTTAGATATGAAATCTCCAGTACTCCACGCTCTCTGGAGGCACAGTTACTTGATATTCATGGAGGTGGTTTAGTTGGGGGAATTTAAGACCGTACATTTATAGCAGTGGACAGTAGTCTCCGTGGTCTAACTTACTAACTTGACTCCTTTGAAGGAATTATGTTATTTCTGGCATACTTTTAGCATTTCAAGGCAATTCATTTTATGAGTGTGACTGGAATATTTGGTGGTTACTGGTTAAGAGATTCTCACCATAATGTCTCTCGCGGGTCAGATGGCAGCAGGGCTCGCGGATGTCAGTCGGTGGTGTCGCTCCATGCACTCGAGCCTGGGGGGATCGCTGGGAGTTTTCAGAGTAAGCACTGCAGGATGAAATTTGTGATTATGATATACGCTGTTATACCAATAACAAAATTAGTTGCTGTCCCATAAAATACCACGAAGGGTACGTTGTGGTATTTTACAAGGCAACTGTTATTTTCCAAGGGCTGTGTCTTGGCCTATTCCATCTCCTAGCAGCTCCGGTGAACGTCCCTCACAATACATACATAACCCCAGGCATATTTTATCCTACTTCAGTGTATTTTGTTTGGTGCAGAAGAGCTTTTCCATCCTCCAACATCATGGAACCAACAGGAACAAAATATCCCTCTAATTATTTCCTGATCAGCGTGATGATGTTGGAAAGTAGAATTTGGTTCTGACATAAAAAACTGTAGCCAGGCTTTCTCTTAAAAATGAAGTGCGAGAAAAAAATCTGGTGGTGTTTATCACTGCGTGTAACACTTAATGTTTCAGTTTTCAAAGAGGCTCTGAAGGACTTTTGTAGAGCTCCAAGGGCAGGATGCGGCAATGATGGACCCTGGGATCTAAACTGCATCCTACCTACATCTCACGTGAGGGGAAGGGTCCTGGGTGGGCTCCTGGCCCCACTGCAGGCTTTGGTAAAATCCCCGTTGAATTCCTGGGGCCCACTCTTCCACCACAAAGGGAATGTCTACAGGGGCCGTCGTACTAATAAAAAGCAGGATTTGAACTCATATCGCGGTAGCTGTGCTGTGAATTCCCTGGGTGGATGTTCTTATTCAGGAGTAACGGTGGATTTCCCCGCCCCCCCGCCAATATAGCTTAAGCTGCTTTCAAAACAAAATAAATTAAGCAGGAAAATCTACTCTTACTCTAGAGTAGGAGTGTCCACCCAGGGAACGGATGGCACTGTGGTATAGTTTACTACATAATTTCCCCATATGGATGAGCCCTAAAACTAAGGGGAGAATAAGGAGCCATAAAGAACAGAAATATATTTTCTGTTCCTTTTCCAGTTTACCTCTAAGACCTTTCACGCAGAGGAAATCATGGCACCCTTAAAACATATGTTTACTTACTTTTCACTGCTATTCCTGCATTCGCACATGCATTTTTAAAAGAGGTTTGTGTTTTGTGCAAGACCTTTTGCAGCCTCATACTGTTCACATGTATTTTTGATGTGCAATCGAGTCAGACTGTTGTTTGTGACATCATTTTTCTCTTCATGGCAACAGCCTGTGATGTCAAACCGCCCAACTTCACTGTAAACTAGTCCTTATTGCCTAAGTTTTATTCTCAGACCATACATCTGATAAAATTGAAAATTAAAGCGAAGAACTGTAAAAACAATCAAATTTCTTTGCGTATAAGTGAGTTATTTTTAACTTCCCATTGTTGAATTAACGCTCCCTTTAAAATGTCTTTATTTTCCAAAGCTGACATCAAGATAACTTCCATGAAATATTATTGGCAGGTTTCCCGCTGCAGTCAATGGGAGCCTTGTACGTATTTTTCGAGCAGATGTGCTATATTAAGTCTAAATGAGAATCTTTTATTTCAAATGGGATGTAATATGTTATTCTTGATAAAAAAATGGGTAGTAATCTCTCTCCCTTCTTTTCCTCTCCCCAAACATATTTTGTACAATTTGCAGGTCATTTTACGTGGGTAAAAAAAATGTTCTCTAGTATTTAAAAAAAGCACAACTTCACTATGTCTCAAACTCCTTTCTAGCTCATTCCTGTGAATTTGAAGTACGAAAACATCTTGAGTCTTTATGAGCAAAGAGAAAGTACATGCCGTATGTGACAGCTTTTACTCCCCGCAAATTCCCAGCAAAGTCGATTTAATAGTTTTCCCTGTGTTTAGAATAAGCTCTAAAATATTTTCCAGTGATGTGGCTTTTGATGTTGTTTAGTTCTACTAGAGGATTTTAAGTTAAGTGCTAAAAAAAAATTTGAAATATTTTTAACATCTCTTCTGGGTTTTCTAATTTGTGCCACTTACCAAATGATTCACACTGTACCAAAGTACAGGAGATTGATGAGACAGGAAAAGTACTGATTTAACATCCCACATATAAAATTACTTCTCAGGCTTCCACATATAGTCCCGATGTTTAGAGAGTGAAGAAACCGGTAGTTGGGAGTTACAGTCTGACTCACTTGTGAGACTTTGACCCAGTTATTTGATTCTAGATTCAGCAAAATACTGAAGCACTTTAAACTTGTTATCTTAGATTTCTTCTAAAGGTCTGTTACGTTGATCTCTTTATATCTCAGTTTACACAGTTATAAGCCTGGATAATTAATTCTTACCTTCTAGGCTTTTGTGGGAGTTAAAAAATAGCTGTAATGTTCCTTGAAGCCTTTGAATGAAAGCTGGCATATTGAAGTACTTGTCATTCACCTTAGTTCATACCCTAGGATGAGAAATGATTGGTGTTGCCCATGTCCCATGCACCGTTTCTGCCGGGATGAGAATTTAGTCTCCCGAGTGCACCAGGCCGCGAGTACAAAGGTCGGGTGCTTCAGGAGCTGATAATTCAGAAAATTATTACACGTAACTTAGCTTTACCCTGATTTTGAATGAGTCAAAATGTAAGCAAAATCATGGCTCGGTTATGTGCCCCCTCTCTCTCTCGAACGCAATGTGTCCTTAATACCTATACGTACACACATATATCTGGAATAACTCTTGTGCACCTGCAAGACACGGAGAGGTCACACTGTCCTTGTAATTCCTCCCCTTCCTGCCATTACCTTTATTTCCCAAGGTTCGAGCCATTATCATTCAGCAGTTGTGCAGCTTTTCTTTTCTTCCGTCCCCAAATTATTATTGTTTCCCTCCTACCTTCTACCCCTCCTGATCCGTAATGGAGTCCTCAGCTGTAAATTTGCTAACTGTAAAGATTTTTGCTTGAAATGTTCTGAAAATGCCATGGGGAAAAAAAAAAAAAAAAAAGAAAGCCTATGAACAACACA